GATGTGTTTCGTTTGGACTAAAAGGTTAAGCTGAGAATCGGATGAAATTGGCAAGTGATGTTAATAAGGCTTTTCAGCATATAAACATATGACAGTATTTGGGAGAAGAGACCGAGGTTCGAGTCTCGGTAGCGGTAGTGTAGGGATTATGCCCAAAGTGGACAGATCCCTTGTGCCCACCATCATTTGGCCCGGTTTGCTGAACCATTGAGTCGCCATGATTTATATCATTCCAATGCTTTGTCGAGCCGGGGTGTGGGGGCCCTTAAGTTGGGGATTCAACCTTAATGGGAGAAGCATATAAAATATGGGTTTGGAGTGTCTTTTTGTTGTCATTCAACCGGTTGTAAAAATTGGCCTATGCGCCCTAGGCCGAGGGGATTTCACCTCTAGACACCTTATAGTCGGCGGGCCCACTAGGCGCCCAACTTCGCTGAGTCGGCATCCAACTCAGTCGAGTCGCAAAACTCTATTCTCCACGGTTGTGGCGACATGGAGTGGTTGTAGCGATTGAACGACTGGAAGCTTTGGACGACAGGCAACGACGACTCGACGATGCTCAAACCGGTGGATTGTGTAGAGTGGCTGCAGCCTATTATTATTGTTTTTATTATTATTACTCGACCGCTTAGGCACTAGGTACCCCGGGGACACCCGACTAGCGCCTAGTGCCTTCTGTAACCTTGCATTCAAGACCCAAATTTTCAGAACCTAAATAAACAAAAGTGCATCTCTAGGTAGCATGAACCCGTGACATTTCGTCTTGGTTTGATAGTTAGATTACATATTTATATTCTATGGAACCAAATGTTTTAATTACTTTCTTCTTTTTGCGACAAATTTGAAGGAGGCTCAACAATAACTCTTTGGGAGGCACCATTCCTATGGTATTAACCAAGGTTCAGTCACTGCAAGTCCTGTGAGTAATAGGTCTCATTTTTCAGAGTTCCAAAGTTTTACTTCTTCCTTGTGCAGAACTAATATAGCCCAATTCATGTAATGCAGTGATTTCTCAAACAACTTTTTGACAGGAACAGTTCCAATCAATGGTTCCTTTTCTCTTTTCACTGAACTCAGGTTTGTCTCAGGATATTCTTTGGATTGCTGTATTTTGTCTTTTTTGGGTGGCGAGGGAAACCTGCAGCCACCCCTCGAGGGTGTGCACGGGGTAAGCCCCGCCCATGTGGCCCTAAATCATAAAGAGATAAACCAGTCTAGGTTACACACTTTTGGGTGACGAGGAAAACCTGCAGTCACAACTCGAAGGTGCACGGGGTAAACCCCGCTATGTGACCTTTAGTGGCAAATGACCATAAGGAAGACACTTTTGGGTGACGAGGAAAACCTGTAAGGAGATAAACCAGTCTAGGTTAGACACTTTTGGGTGACGAGGGAAACCTGCAGTCACCACTCGAGGGTGCACGGGGTAAACCCCGCTATGTGACCCTTACTGGCAAATGACCATAAGGAAGACACTTTTGGGCGACGAGGGAAACCTGCAGCCACCCCTCGAGGGTGTGCACGGGGTAAGTCCCGCCCATGTGGCCCTAAATCATAAAGAGATAAACCAGTCTAGGTTACACACTTTTGGGTGACGAGGAAAACCTGCAGTCACAACTCGAAGGTGCACGGGGTAAACCCCGCTATGTGACCTTTAGTGGCAAATGACCATAAGGAAGACACTTTTGGGTGACGAGGAAAACCTGTAAGGAGATAAACCAGTCTAGGTTAGACACTTTTGGGTGACGAGGGAAACCTGCAGTCACCACTCGAGGGTGCACGGGGTAAACCCCGCTATGTGACCCTTACTGGCAAATGACCATAAGGAAGACACTTTTGGGCGACGAGGGAAACCTGCAGTCACCACTCGAGGGTGCACGGGGTAAACCCCGCTATGTGACCCTTACTGGCAAATGACCATAAGGAAGACACTTTTGGGCGACGAGGAAAACCTGTAAGGAGATAAACCAGTCTAGGTTATACACTTTTGGGTGACGAGGGAAACCTGCCGTCACCACTCGAGGAGTCGAGGGTGTGCACTAGGCAAACCTGGCCATGTGCCATGTGACTTTAGCCAGCAAATGACTACAAGGAGGTAAACCAAGAAACACAATAGACTGAACTCACTGAAGAGTCGAACTTGGAATCTTGTGGATACCAAACCAACAACCCCGACCAACTTCGTTGGAGTTTTCCTTGTATTTTCTTGTCTTGGGTTATTCTTTGAAGGCTAATTTGCAATGCTTCAGTTTCCGAAACAACTCAGGATTAAAATTTGCTCCTTCTCCTCCACCAGCTCCAATTTCCCCAACACCCTCTTCTTCAGGTTTGTTACTGTTCTACTTCTCTCTATCACATTTTACCCGTTTTACTTACTATTCGTTGAAAAAATCATCTTCTTTTTTCGCTTATTTATTTGGCTCTGATATCAGATTGAATGATGTATTTGGTCTAAACTAAAAGTTTAAGCTAAACACTCCCCCGATTATTGATTAGATTACATGAAACTCGATCAACCTTTGCAGGGGGGAGCGGCACTACTGGTGCCATTGCTGGAGGGGTGGCTGCAGGTGCCGCAATTTTGTTTGCTGCTCCCGCAATTCTGATGGCGTGGTGGCGGAGAAGGAAACCGCAAGTCAATTTCTTTGATGTTCCCGGTTGGTGGCATCGAGCTGTTAATCGATTTGTCTCGTGCGCTTGAATGTACTCTCACTTTTTACTCTTTCTGCAGCTGAGGAGGACCCCGAGGTCCACCTTGGGCAGCTGAAGAAGTTCTCTCTGCGTGAGCTGCAAGTCGCCACGGATCATTTCAGCAACAAGAACATACTCGGGAGAGGAGGGTTTGGCAAGGTTTACAGAGGGCGATTGGCTGATGGCTCGTTGGTTGCGGTGAAAAGACTGAAGGAGGAACGGAGCCAGGGCGGGGAGCTGCAGTTCCAGACCGAAGTCGAGATGATTAGTATGGCAGTGCACAGGAATCTCCTCCGGTTGCGTGGCTTCTGCATGACACCAACCGAGAGGTTGCTCGTTTATCCTTACATGGAGAACGGGAGCGTTGCTTCGCGTTTAAGAGGTATGTATGTATGCATACCGTATATATATTTCTTACATGGTATCAAAGCACGAAGAGAGTCTAATGCTGCAAAAAATGCTTGCAGACCGACCCGAATCAGTGCCCCCGCTGGGCTGGCCCGTGAGGAAGCATATTGCCCTCGGGGCTGCTAGAGGGCTAGCCTACTTGCATGACCATTGTGACCCGAAGATCATCCACCGCGATGTCAAAGCTGCAAACATTTTGCTGGACGGGGAGATGGAAGCGGTAGTGGGTGACTTCGGGCTGGCTAAACTCATGAACTACAAGGACACTCATGTTACCACTGCAGTGCGGGGTACTATCGGGCACATAGCACCCGAGTATCTGTCAACTGGGAAATCTTCTGAGAAAACTGATGTTTTCGGGTATGGAGTTACGCTTTTGGAGATCATCACCGGGCAGAGGGCGTTTGATCTTGCTCGCCTCGCCAACGATGATGATGTTATGTTGCTCGATTGGGTAAGCATTATCACCATAATCTACTTCCTCCATGATACTGAAACGAGTTTTTCCCACTTTTGATCCTACGAAATCCTTGTCACTTTTGGTCTTCGGGCCTAATTTTCAGTCAACGATGACCAGACTTCAAGCGAGTGACTTATCTTAAAGGGCAAAATTGTCATTTCTGATCACATGTCCCGAGAAGTTTAATAAATAAATGCAAAATGACAATTTTACCCTTTAATACGTTGCCTGAAATTTGGTAATCGATGACGGGAATTTAGATAAGAGGGATCAAATATGAAAAAGATTTAAAAGTCGTGGGACCAAATGTGGAAATGGTCACATAGACAAAAAATAGAAAAAAATCTTACAGGAACTTTTAAATCATTGTCACTTTTGGTCCTCCGACTTAATTTTCAGTCACCGGTGACCAAAATTCAAGCGAGTGACTTATCTTGAAGGGCAAAATTGTCATTTTCCATCACATCCCCGAGAAGTTTAAGAAAAAAATGCAAAATGACAATTTTACCCTTTTAAGATAAGTTACTTGCTTGAAATTTGGTAACTGATGACCGGAATTTAGATCAGAGAGATTAAATATGGAAAGGATTTAAAAGTCGTGAGACCAAATGTGGAAATGGTCACATAGTCCTTGGGACAAAAAAATAGAAAAAACTCTTACTGAAACTTACTTCCATAACTTGCATTAATATCTTGGCTTTGAAACTAATGATGTTTTCTGTATCAATAGTGAGATTACACATTTATATTTTATATGCTCAACATTCCCTCGGGATTTCAGGTGAAGGGACTTCTGAAGGACAAGAAGTATGAAATACTAGTTGATGCAGATCTTCAGGGTATGTACGAGGAATATGAAGTGGAGCAGCTGATTCAGGTCGCCCTGCTCTGCACGCAGAGCACCCCGATGGAGCGTCCACGAATGGCAGAAGTCGTGGGGATGCTCGAAGGCGAAGGGCTGGCCGAGAAGTGGGAGGAGTGGCAGAAGGAGGAAATGTTCAGGGCCGATTACAGCCAGGCCCCCCACCCTATCGGTTGGAACATCCCCGATTCCACACCAAATCTCCAAGATGAAGTGTTGTCTGGACCAAGATGATCCTAATCCTAGGTCAGACTGTTGATTTAGTAACCGCAAAGTTTCAAGTTCGACTCCCAGGCCAGCGGGACTCGCCTATTAGCCTTCCTGGTTTGAGTTGGTCAGGTATATATAGACAACTTAAACTGGTTTACCTCCTTGTAGTCCTTTGCCGTCTAAGGTCACAAGGCGGGGTTCTGGTTTACCTCCTTGTGGTCATTTGGTTACTAGTTGCGGGTTTCTCTCATAATTCAAAAAAAAAAAAAAAAAAATAAAAATAGGGAGCCCTTTCTACAAATGTATTGCTATGATGGGGAACATTTTATTCACTCAAAACATGTTTCTTAAGACATTAGTGCTGCAGAATTTCAAGAACCAACTTTGAAGTTGTACTCGGTTTACACGATAGTTCAGTACATGCAAAACGAACCCTTTCTAACGTTTTATTAATGGAATAATAATAACAATAACAATAACGTAATAACTATCTGCTGTATTATACATTCACACAGCCTGTAATAAACTATATATATATATATATATATATATATATACTAAAGTTTATATAAGTAGGAGAGTGAAATGCTCACTCCTGCAGAGTGGAAAAACCATAAAACTAAGTGGAGGTTGATTCGAACTGACCTCGAGAACGGGCATATATAGTTACATATCGAGAATCTGACAGCTGATAAGCTCTGCAGACCCGCTATTCCTCGATGCGATAACTCTCCATATGTTTGCATCAGATTCTTTCTCGTTCTCGTTCTGATTATGCTGCCTGTCTGCTTGCAAGACGAGGATGTTTTGATTTGCGTCTTTAGCAATCACATTGAGCTTGCCAAGAAGGCCCGCGAGTAGATAAGGAGACTCTGAATCGGTGAGGTCCCGGATGGGGATGTCTCCCTCGATTGCCTTCCAGGAATCGTCCCGAGAATCGTACACTTTTATCTTGGCGCTGTCAAACGAGCTGGAAGGGTCCAAAGCATAGAGCTCCCCGTCGACGATAACGCTTAGTTTTGTTCCTGCCTGTCTAGCGGGCCAGCCTTCACCCATGCCCATTGGCATCTCGACCCAGGCGTTCGTCTCGGGATCGTACACTTCGCCCCCGGCATCGACGAAAAACGGCCAGCAATAGAGGCTTTGGGGAACATAAAGCTTTCCCCGGTAAGACGAGATCCCGGTGGCTATAGGTTTGAGGAAATCAGCTAAGAAAGCAGTAGGCAGCATATGGGCTTTGGTGAATGGCATGCTCGGGACTTCGACCCAAATCCCGGTTTCGGGATCAAACACTTCTGCAGACTGGAGAGGGGTCAGCCCGCCCTGGTCCCGGTCCCGAGTCACGCCCCCAACTACATAAAGCTTGCCATTTAAGACCCCCGTCTTACAATAAGCTCGACCAACGCACATAGGGCTCACTTCGTTCCAAGCGTTCGTTATCGGGTCATATCGCCACACACATCTCATAGTTGAAGCTTTGCAAAACCCTCCCAACACGTAGAGGCAACCGTTCACGGCTCCAATAGCACACCCGCAAAACGGGATTTGGTCAAGTGAGCCTTTCTTCCCGAGCCAGCCCCTTATGGCACCCGCAATTCTCATTGTCGAACTCACCATGCTCCATAACCGAAGAGCCGACAACCCCCTTCTAGACCCATCATTGGCGGTCAAACTAGGCACTGGTGGCAACCTCTGCCATTTCCTCGAGACCGGATCTAAGCCATGCCATAAAAGCTTATCGCCACTACCCTTAGTCAAAACGTAGAGCCACTCCTCGGTCGTTCCAAGCTCTTTTCTTACTTTATACAGCTCGGGACTCGTGACAGCAGCTTTCCACCCCCGACACACTAACTTTGCATTCAAGTAATAATTTCTCGGGAGCCTCGCAAGAATCTGGATGGATATCTCATCGGGTAGGCCGGGAATAATCAACTGCGGGATATCTTCCCAAACGTTAACCGATATCTTTTGTCTTTTACACATTTCACTTTGCGAAACCTCATTTAGCTCAATCGTGGGGGAATCGGGATTGCTTAGGCTCAATATCCCACCCATCTGTTATACTCCCACTAACCTTCAATCCCGAGAGAACAGAAGTCTTGTATTTCGGCCAGTCCAACGAGAACTAATAAACGTGCAATGGACCAACTTCCTGATTGGATAACTGATAATCAAGCTCGGTTAACAAAGAACGAAAGCCAGAGTAAAGCATACTAGAACAAAAATTAACCAATCATCATCGTCTGTTTGTCATCAAATCCATACATGATTGTCAATGTCTATAGTTCTATACAAAATTTATATATCACTCCTGAGTTGTCAGAATTCAATCTAGCATACCAGTGATCTAGAAATTGCATAGATTAAAGGCAGAGATAACACAATCACACTTATTTCATGGATGCTACTGTTAAGAGTCCCACATTGATAAAATAAGAGAGAACATATGAGTTTATAAGGCCATGAGTTAGACTAACTAATTTGTTGGATTCAATCTTTGGTTTGGCTCATGTGCAGCCCAATTGAGTGACCCTAGCTCAATCTTAATTTTTATCCGGTTTCCTCGTCACTTAAAATACAGTTTTGGGATAAATTAAGTAAAGAGGGATGAACACACCAAGCAAAATTCTGGAAAGAGAATCACAAAGAACAGTGGATTCAAGAAATAGGGATCAAAATTCCATGTTTTTTCATCCAATTCAGCATAAGAAAACTGCAACTTCCCACCAAAAAAATCATAACAAGACAGAAACCTTAAAAAAGCTGATAAATCATCAAAAGCAAAAACAGACAAGAAATTTGAGAGCTCCCAAGAAGCATTCAAAGCAGAACCCAGAATTGCCAAGACATAAAGACTCAATCTTGAAAGCAGAATTGGATGATAAAAGGATAGATACAGATGAATACCCGTGATAGATACGATGAACCCAGAGTGGAATTTTGAAGAATCAGAGCATTTCTGGAGATTGGGCACCGAGCTGGGAGGAGTGTCCAGATATACAAATGTCGGGAGATATTTGATCATGTGCTTTGTTATTACTGTTTGAAGTTACTGTTACTACACTTTCCTTAGCAATATTTAAGGATAAGACAAAAAACATGGCAAGGCGTGGAAAGTATTGTTCTGGATAAAAGTTTCCTTAATGATGAGACTATGATCATTTGACATTTTTGTCCTTCACTACTCACTATTTTTTATTTATTTTTGGGTGTATCCAAGATTTTCACTGTCAGACACGATGATTAATTTCCTTGTTGGATTGTAAGCATCTCTTTTAGGTGGGACAATTGGCCTGACCTTGACTACTCACTATGCAAATCTAGGGAATTTGAATATTTGATCACTTTAGAAATATATATCTGGTGTGGATGAAATGACAAGGATCTTCTTCAATTTAACTAGAAGTTTCGAGTTTGAGCGACACATATATGATTAGTATGGATGTATTCTTTTAGGAAAAGGTGAAATTAGAGGTTAGAGTGATGGTGATGCATTGAAATGTTTGTGATATTCATTTAAATGGCCTTTAAACAAAATTTAACGAGTGATGTTCACCGCTTCAATTGCTCTTCTAGAACACTCTTGATTCGTTCGATTCGTTTGATTCTTACTTAACACAACAATAGGTTCTCAAATGAGTAATTTGTTGGGTAATATGGTTGAAAATTCCCAAAAATAATAATCCTACGAAAAGATTAATATTATATGGGAAAACAAAAAGAATTGGGAAGGAAAATGTTGAGTGTTTGGGTAGGGATTTAGCACGAGTTCGAACACGAAGTTCTTTTCCTTAAAACCTTATTTGCTACCTCCCACAAGTGCTAGGAGCGTTGTAGCCTAGGTTTCCCAGGATAAAACGTGCTACGATTCCTTGTTTAAGCACCTAAACACCTTATTTGCTACCTCCCACAAGTGCTAGGAGCGTTGTAGCCTAGGTTTCCCAAGCACAGTATGAACACTGTTGGCAAAAGAAGAACACCTTATTTGCTACCTCCCACAAGTGCTAGGAGCGTTGTAGCCTAGGTTTCCCAAGCACAGTATGAACACTGTTGGCAAAAGAAGAGAGTATAAGCAGAAGTCTCTCTTTATATAGGGATGTTGGAAGGGATAGCATTCAACATGGCCTATTGTACGTAGGGGTACGCGAGCTCGGGCTTGATTTCAAGCCTTTTTCATGTCCTCTAGTTGTGATATTCATTTAAATGGCCTTTAAACAAAATTTAACGAGTGATGTTCACCGCTTCAATTGCTCTTCTAGAACACTCTTGATTCGTTCGATTCGTTTGATTCTTACTTAACACAACAATAGGTTCTCAAATGAGTAATTTGTTGGGTAATATGGTTGAAAATTCCCAAAAATAATAATCCTACGAAAAGATTAATATTATATGGGAAAACAAAAAGAATTGGGAAGGAAAATGTTGAGTGTTTGGGTAGGGATTTAGCACGAGTTCGAACACGAAGTTCTTTTCCTTAAAACCTTATTTGCTACCTCCCACAAGTGCTAGGAGCGTTGTAGCCTAGGTTTCCCAGGATAAAACGTGCTACGATTCCTTGTTTAAGCACCTAAACACCTTATTTGCTACCTCCCACAAGTGCTAGGAGCGTTGTAGCCTAGGTTTCCCAAGCACAGTATGAACACTGTTGGCAAAAGAAGAACACCTTATTTGCTACCTCCCACAAGTGCTAGGAGCGTTGTAGCCTAGGTTTCCCAAGCACAGTATGAACACTGTTGGCAAAAGAAGAGAGTATAAGCAGAAGTCTCTCTTTATATAGGGATGTTGGAAGGGATAGCATTCAACATGGCCTATTGTACGTAGGGGTACGCGAGCTCGGGCTTGATTTCAAGCCTTTTTCATGTCCTCTAGTTGGATTTTGATTTGCACCCCCCCCCCCCCCCCCCCCCCCCCCGCGCACGAAAGCCTCTATGCTATACAATTCTACAAGCTTGAAAAGAGCTCATGTATATAAGGGGGGCAAATCTTGTTTCCAAACCAATGTGGGACAAAGTCCTACATTTTCCCTTCATTTCCCAACTTAAATGGGTCTACTTTGAGAATCAATATCTCATTCACCCATTATCCGTTTTGAGCGTACAATATATCAATCTCTTCGTCTTACTACGAAGAATCCGAATCCACTTTGACCCGACCCAAATTGGAAGTGGACCCCACTGATAATTGTACCACAAAATAGCCACTTAATATGTCATTTTAAGCTAATTTTTCCAACATAATTTACTGCAAAATTATAATAGAAGGGTTGACATCAATAGATAATAGATGATATTTTAAACTTAACAAGACTTCAAATTAAGTACACGTTTTTCACTATACCTTTATATATATATATATATATATATATATATATATATATTTGGGGACAAAAAACATGCATTGTGTATTTTAATGTAGGGGTGCAGTTGGGTTGAGCTTAAACCTATGCATGTCTTGTACTCGAGTTCAAGTTTGATTGAGTTTATAAAAAAAAAAAAAAAAAAGACTTGAATTCGATTCACTAATTTTTACAAGGTTTGAACTCAATTTGATTGGCTCGAATTCGAACCGTATACATACATATACACACAAGCACAAATCGCTCGCAAATAACTTAACAAGCCATGAGTACAAATTTCTTAACCTCGAATTCGACTAGATACTTATTGAGTTGGCTCGAATTCAAATTTGACTAAATCATATTAAACTTTGATTGAACATCTCACAAGCAACTCGACTTGTTTTCGTCCCTACTTTAGTGTCAACTCAAGATTCAACACCCAAATGATGCATGGCTACTACAACCCAACACAATCCACCATCAAGAACAATCCTATAACATACTATATTTTAACTAATCGATTAACATTTTTTTAATTAAAAAAAAAACCTTTTAATTAACAATAAACAAATAAAAAAAAAAATACTTCTATCAAACAAGATATATTTTACCACAATAAATGTTACTCCGTATAAAATTACTATTGGCCTATTGCTTGGAAATGATTTTCTTCCATTGTTAATAGTCTTTATCTTATAAATGAAGTACTTGGCATAATATATCAAATGCTAATGCCTTAACGTATAGAATGATGCTTTTGGATGTGTCAAAATTGAATAATTCATTTTAGGTGTCAAAATTGAATATTGGTATCTACCATACAATAATTTGTTATTCAAATTTTATTAATCTTAGGTTAATGTATTTGGTAGCTTATATAGACACGACATTGCTTGATTCAACCAAATTAGGTACTATTTGGAATTTTAATTGAAAAGTGTCTTCTTCTTTTTTTCAAACTTAATGTGTGTGTGCGCGTGCGCGTGCGTGTGTGCGTGTGCCCGTGTGCGCGCGCGTGTGTGCGTGTGCCCGTGTGCGCGCGCGTGTGTGCGTGTGTGCGTGTGTGCGAGATCGGGTGAGAAGTAGTAGCAACATGAGAGCATGCAGACAAATCACATACTATATGTTTATCTAAGATGATTAAGGGTATGAAAAATAAGGAAAAACATGATGATATTTTCGTATTTATAATTTTGCATTTTGAAACACTTTATAGTGCATTCGCATATAATTGGTCGCGAATTCATGATTTATAATAGTGCACTCACTGTGTACATTATTAATTATCTGCGGAAGAACTATCAAACATTTCCAAATGCATCGTTTTGATTAAATAAATATCATCGCATTTTCCCCTTTCTTTCATTAATTTCTAGCCTTAAAAATCTTATATGGACGAATGGATGAGATTAGTATGCATGTTCTTATATAGGATTACTAATTCTTCCGGATTATTATATGTATATAATCAAATATTTTGACTTTATAACTTATAAATTTGAATTCATGTATATGCCACTATACAATTGCCCCTAAATAAAGATCGACTAAAATTTAATTGGATTCGTCTCATCCCGTAATATGATGCAGTATATATATGTGAAAAAAAAAAATTAATTTCAAAACTCTATGTTAAGATAATTCGTATATGTGAATCGTTAGCCTCAATTCAAAATTAGGATTGAACCAATAGCAATATATATCTAGTTCAATATTTGTATGTTTGATATACACACAATTTTATAGAAAAATGTGAAAGAAGTACACGGCTTTTTTTTTTTTTTTTTACAATGTTGACTAATAATAAAAATGTTGACCACTAAAAATAAAAAGGTCTAATCACATTTTTGTAAATATATTACTAATTTTACTTTCAATAATTATACAAATTGTCACAATTATCTTCTATTTACAATATTCTTCATTCATACTATTTGACACTATATCTTTTATAAATGAACTTATTTTTTAAATTTTTTTCTTCAAAATGTGAAATAAATTATAATTACAAGTTTATGACTTTTTGAAGAAGCATGAATGTAATCCACATTAATTAAATATCACCAGTTAATACTCCGTACGATTTTAAAAAAAAAATAAAAAAAATTAGTACGAATTTGGTTTTCAATTAAGTGTGAACTAAATTGTTTTTTATAGACATATTTTATTTTATTTTATTGATTTTAGGTGGAATGTACTGGAATCTGTGTTTCTTCTATTCTTCTAGAAGCATATGACGTGTTGCATTAAATTAATCATGGGGTTCATGCAGAATCTACCGCTTTTGGGTTTAGTACTTTTTTTTTTTTTTTTTTTTTTTTGGAAAACTTGGGTTTAGTACTTTAGTTTAATCGTTAATAATATTAAAGAAGATGTGAGAGTTTTTTTTTTTAACCAAATAAATTCATTAATTCAAATCTGTGTACAACTAGTTGACGATAATAGAAGGATGGGAGAAACTCCACTCCCAGCGTACAGACATAGAACATGCTTCTTTAGCTAAGATATGAACAACCATATTCATAGTACGACTATCATGAGAGATTGTTATTTGGGTAAATGAACGTAACAAATCTTTAACATTAAGACTGCAGTGTGTATAAAATGAAATTCAATAACATGTCTTACATATTGAGTGTATAATGTTAAATAAAACTGTAGTTAGAATA